GGGCTGCGATCGGGCCGGGCCCAGACTCCGGTGCAGGCGCCCGCCCGCGGCCGGGCAGGTTTCCGCGAAGTCTGGCTCGCAGGTTCCGGGAAGCGAGCCGCGGGGGGAGGGGGGGCTGGAAGTAGCTGCGGTTTCGTTTCTGCTCCCCGTCCCCGCGTTGGGCGCCGCGGGTCTCGGGGGTGCCACCTCTCTCCTCCCCGCCTGGGCCGTGCACACCACCGGGGGCTGGAAGAGAACGCTGCGCCCGCGGGAGGCGCGTTCCCTGCGCTCCCCCTTCCCCCAGAGCCAAGCGTCTGACCTTGGGGGGCGCTGGGAGAGGTGAAGGGCTGTCCCCCAGGGGACCCGGTTGGTAGTGCCCGTAGGCGGGGACCTCAGTTTCCCCTTTTCAGGCTCTTAGCACCCGCTGAGGGCTGAAGGGAGCACTCTGCCCGTCAGATGCGGACCCTGAGGAGGTGATTTCCCACGAAAGGTTATGACCCCAGTCTAGTGGGCCTGGGGTGATTGCCGGGGTGGGCGTTCCGGTTCCTTCCTAAGTCACACTCTCCGTGCTAGATGCGTGGAGGCCGGGCTAAAGAGGAACTGGTAGGAGTGAGGGGATCCCCCGCTGGCATTAGGGGGGTCCACAGTCATGATTGTAGAAGTGACTGCGCAGGAGGGACTCTGTGTGTGTGTGGGGGGGGCATTTCACACAGTCAACAAGAATACAATACTTAGTTTCATGTCCGGCCTCTGCCATTAGCTGGCAGCCTTGGTTTCCCAAACTGTAAAACGGGGATAACTCGGATCCACTCCTCCAATCTTCAGGGCTGTGGCCACTTCAACCAGTCAGGGTCCCAGATGATACTTTTGTTTTTTGGTTTTGTTTCTTTTTTTTGGGGGGGGGGTCCGATCGTGGGGCCTGAGCTCTGGGCCTGGGCGCTGTCCCTCGGCTCTTCAGCTCAAGGCTAGCACTCTACCACTTGAGCCACAGAGCCACTTCTGTCTTTTTTCTTTCTTTCTTTTTTTTTTTTCTTTTTGCTTATGTGGTGCTGAGGAATGGAACCCAGGGCCTCATGCATGCAAGGCAAGCACTCTACCACTGAGCCACCTTCCCAGCCCCCAGCTGATACTTTAAGAGCTGCGAAAGAACCCACCGGGAACTTTCCCTGGCGAGTGGGAATCGGGTGGGAAGGAAAGAAGTCCGGCGATGAGACAGACACCTGCCCAGATTTCAGAGATGTGTACTCGGAGCCTAGCCACATGCCCGCAGTGTGGCCTTATTCAAAGCAATTACTGTGCCTTGGTTAGGTGATTAGATCTTTTTACTCCTACACTTTGTAATGGGCACTTATTAATTGTACGGTGTGGGGGGAGATATTGTGATTTTCCATACACACTATATTTTGATCTATCCATCCCCCTCCACTAGTCTTGCTCACACACACACACACACACACACACACACCCTCCCACCACCCCACCTCTCCACCTCTCCCCCTAGTGACCACATTTTGAAAGTCCCTTGGAGTCAACATTCTGTAGGTTGCTGACTGCTCTTAGGGAAATTTCCAGGCTAGGGGATGACAGATGACTAGTGAATTTGCCTTGCCATGTTCCTCTTTCTCTACCAGTTCTTCCTGAAGTCTATGCCTCATCCTTCCTGTTATAAATACCATCAGGACAAAGGTCAAAAAAGTTATTCAGTGTCTCAGCAACCACTTTAATCATGTGCTGACTGGGAGATACACATACAGAACCCAGCCTATGAGGGTAAAAGGTAAAAGATGCATAGAGAAATAACTTTTTTTTTTTTGCACCAGTCTTGGGGCTTGCACCCAGGGCCTGGGCACTGCCACTGAGCTCAAGGATAGCCCTCTACTACTTCGTACAACGGCTCCACTTCCACTTTTTTGAAAGTTAATTGGAGAGCAGAGTCTCATGGACTTTTCCTGCTTAGGACGGTTTTGAACCGTGATTCTCAGATCTTGGTTCTCTGAGTAGCTAGGATTCTAGGCATGAGTCACTGGCTGCAGGTGAGAAAGAACTTTCATTCAAGATTGTAAAGGTAAGGTTTCCTCCCCCTTCCCCCCCAGTCCTGGGGCTTGAACTCAGGCCCTGTCCCTGAGCTCCTTTGGTTCAAAGCTAGCACTCTACCACTTGAGCCACAGTGCCATTTCTAGCTTTTCTGTGTATGTGATACTGAGAAATTAAACCCAGGGCTTCATGCATGCTAGGCAAGCACTCTACCATTAAGCCACAATCCCAGCTCAGTGCTGCTATGAACTATGCCCACCCTGCACAGAGGAAGTAATGGTGTTTAAAGGATTGTGGAAGGCTGGACTGTGAGTTTGAAGGCAGATAAGGCAGGATTCCAGGCAGGGAGAACAGCATGTCCAAAGGCACAGAGGCAAGAGCCAGTGGTGTGTGTGTTCGAGTTGTGCATTGTGGTAACCACACGGTGGCGTGTGTGTGTGTTTGTGGCAAGAGAAAGGATTGGAGGAATGACTGTAAGGCAAGGGACAGATTAAGGGCCCTTCCTAGCTAATTATCTCCAATTAACCACAACAAAGCTGGAAGTAGAGCTGTGGCTCTAGTGAGAAAGCACTATCAAGCTCAAGGACCAGGCCCTGAGTTCAAACTCCAAGACCAGTACCAAACAAAACAACCAAAAAAAAAAAAAAGCTGTGTGCTAGTGGCTCACACCTGTAATCCTAGCTACTCAGAAGGCTGAGATCTGAGGATCACGGTTCAAAGCCAGCCTGAGCAGGGAAGTACATGAGACTCTTGTTTTTTTGTTTTTGTTTTTTGTTTTGGCTGGTTGTGAGGTCTGAACTCTGAGCCTGGGCACTGTCCCTCAGCTCTTCAACTCAAGGTGAGCACTCTACCACTTGAGCCACAGTGCCACTTCCAGCTTTTTCTGCTTATGTGGTGCTGAGGAATTGAACCCAAGGCGTCATGCATACAAGGCAAGCACTCTACCACTGAGCCACCTTCCCAGCCCTACATGAGACTCTTATCTCCAATTAACAACCAGAAATTCGGAAGTTGTGCTGGGTTCAAAGTGGTAGGGCACTAACCTTGAGGTGAAGAACTTAGGGACAGCACCCAGGCTCAGAGTTCAAGCCCCACAACTGACAAAACAAACAAAGGAATACTTAAGGGACACACTTAGAAGCTGGGCACTGGTGGCCCACACCTGTAATCCTAGCTACTCAGGAGGCTGAGATCTGGGGATTGAGGTTCAAAGCCAGCTGGAGCAGGAAAGCCCATGAGACTCTAATCTCCAAAAAACCACCTAAAACCCGGAAGTGGTGTTGTGGCTCAAGTGGTAGAGTATTCGCCTTGAGCTGAAGAGCTCAGCGAGAGTGCCCAGGCCCAGAGTTCAAGCCTCATGACCAACAACAACACACACACACCAAAAAAAAGATGTACACTTAGAAAAAAAGAAGTCGGAGGCTGGAAAGTTCCAGGTTCTCAGGAAGAGAGAGAGGCTAATGAAAGTGGAAAAATTAGAGGGGAGCAGAGTTGGGGGTGGGAGAGTGGAAATGGATCATGTGGATTAAAGCAGGTGCTGGGGTAGAGAGGAAGGTTGTAGGAACAGGCAGAGGCCATGCAGTGTGCAGAAAGAGTCAAGATTTCAAGGGAGAATCTCACAGGCTGTACTCAGAGACCAGCATGTACACAGGCCAGCTTGAGAGCCCGACCATGTTCAGGGGGCACAGGAGTCCAGTGGGGAGAGAGGAATGAGACAGTTGAGAGTAGGGAAAGGATCACTGTATACCTCCCGCCTGGTCCACACAAGATGCCATGGAAGAGGCCGAGCAGATGTGTATGTTACAAAGTTCACCCTGGCTACGGCAGTTGGGTGAACAGGAAAAAGAGGATTCAGTTCAAGGTGAAAGGCTGAGTGACTTGTCATCATCATTAAGTACTAGAGTGTACACTCCACAGGGCATGAATTTTATGTGCTGTATTTAACAGTCCAAACTGGTGTTTGGTGCATGGTAGGTACTCGGTTAACTCTTGTTGACTGAATCCATGCTTGACTATCTCTGGCAGTGATGGGATTTACTCCTGCTGTGTATAACAGGAGTGTTGGTGGGGATGGAGAAAGGGCACTGTGGGTGTGTGTGGGGGGGTGCAATCAAAAGAAGGGGAGGGGCTGGGAAGGTGGCTCAGTGGTAGAGCGCTTGCCTTGCATGCCAGAGGTCCTGAGTTCGATTCCTCAGCACCACATAAGCAAAAAGAAAAAAGCCGGAAGTAGTGCTGTGACTCAAGTGGTAGAGCACTAGCCTTGAGTTGAAGAGCTGAGGGACAGCGCCCAGGCCCAGAGTTCAGGCCCCATGACCGGACCCCCCCCCAAAAAAAAGAAGGGGATAATTGACAATTGGCAGTCATAGTGTGGAGGGTGACTTTCAAGTTTGTCTTAATGAGAACCGTAAAGAAGGACAGCAGAACAGGGCTGGCAGTTATGGAACTGCTGAGTTCGAGGTAGAGCAGACCATCCCAGGAAGAGGGATTCTACATGCATATTGTATTAACTGCAAAAGGATTCTGAAGTAAATGTAATATTCTGCCTCTTCTCACATACCATGATACTCTGAAAGAAAAAAAAAAAGAATAGGGATATCTTTGAGCCTAGTCAGCAGTAGACAGTAACTGAAGTTGTGGAGTGGGGTTAGATCATGCCGGAGGGTAAGCAGGTACAGAGAGCTTAAGCT